AAACTTAGAATCACACAATGGTTTGGGTTGGAAGGGACCTCAAAGCTCATCCTGTCCCAACCCCCTGCCATGGGCAGGGACACCTTTTGCTAGACCAGGTTACCAGGAAAAAAACTTCCGTTTTTCTTGTTTCTCTTTTTCTTTTCTTTGAGATATTTTGGAACAGTCAAAGACTCTGCATTGATACTTGAAGCATGAAAACCAAAATTTTGCTGTTCCCACTGCCAAAAAAAAACAACCAAAAAACCAACAACCCTTTTTGCTAGAAGTGTTAGTTAATGAGGGAAAAAATAAAGATTAAAAAATGAAAATGAAAAAGGACCAAAAGACAAGAAACACTGACTGGTGCAGAAGAGGGAAACTGGTCATGTAAGAGCTACGATTCTGGAGATATTTTGTGACTCGACTCCCACTCATGGGACTTTAACACTTCCAGGAGTGGGGATGGTCAGCAGCACCTTCCCAAGGTTCCCTCACACCCTCAGCCTGGTGATAGATCCATGAATGCTGCTGGTCTGAATAAAGACTTGAAAATTCTTCTCACAGCTTCAGGGTGCACTTTTCCTGCTGTTTCTGTCTTGCAGTGATGAAGCAACACGATAACCAGGTCTGGAACTGCAGCTCCACAGCCCTGGGATCAGCTCTGCTGGGACACGTGTTGGGACCCTGCTGAGGGGCACCAAAGGTGAGACTTGGTCTGACCCGCTCTGGAACTGCTCTGTCACCAGGCATTTGTGTCACCACAGTGTAAGGAAGATCTGAAGCCATTAAAGAGTGGCCAAAGGAGGGAAGGAGGATGGGGAAGGGCCTTGATTTGAAGGCGTGTGAGGACACTGAGGGCACTTGGTGTGTTCAGCTGGAGAAGAGGAGACTGAAGGGAGACCTCAGTGCAGTTCCACCTTCCTGGGCAGGGGCAGAGGAGGGGCAGGGACTGAGCTCTGCTCTGGGGGGACCAGGGACAGCAGCCAGGGAATGGCTGGAGCTGTGTCAGGGCAGGCTCAGGTTGGATCTCAGCCAAAGGTTCTTCCCCCAGAGGCTGGTTGGGCACTGCCCAGGCTCCCCAGGGCAGTGGGCACAGCCCCAAGGCTGCCAGAGCTCCAGGAGGGTTTGGCTGATCCTCTGGGGCACAGGGGGTGACTCTTGGGCATGGGCCTGTGCAGGGCTGAGGGTTGGATTGGATGATCCTTGTGGGTCCCTTCCAACTCAGCAGACTCAGGGCTTCTGTGAATCTTCAATCAGATTGTGAACAACACAGTCAGGGAAAGGATTTACCTAAAGGCAGGTCCAAATCCTCCTGGCAACAAAAAGGGTCTTGAGAAAAATATGATACTAAAATGTAAATCTATGTAAAACTTTCTTCAGCCTTCCAAGTTGTCATTTCATTGCTGTCCTACCTCCACAGTGACCCCTTCCCACCAGTCCTGACCAACACATCAAACTATCTCTTACAGGTGACACTGGAAGCTCAATGCTGAGTGGTTGAATGGTGCACACACCTGAAATGAAAGTATCAGACCCAAACTCTGTGCCCTTTTTATGGCCCAAAAAATCTGCTTTCCAGCCCTCCAAGTCTATGAACTGTTTTTAAGGAGACCCAGAGCCTGGACCTGCTATCAAATAGATTTTTGTGGAGCTCAAAGATCAGCCTCAGCTCTTCAATGCCAACAATTTAGGGGAAAGCAGCTGCTGGGCTTGGGCTGGGTTTGTCTCTGCAGCCCTTAAGTAACAAGTTCTCCTTTACACAACTGCACTTTTGCTCCTATTCTGCAGTTGGAACATCTGTATTTGTAGAACATAATTTTAACTGTGGGCTTCATTCTCTTCTCATCTGTATCATCCCCAGTGTGGAGGCTGTGATGGGCTCAGCAGAACTCCAGCTACCACACAGGTACAACTCTGGTGCTAAAGGAGCTGCTGGTCAGGCTCTGCCAGTGTGACTGATGTTCTTCCCATGGAAATGAATGATTGAGTGGCTTTCTGCTGTTTTCTCCCATAAAATTACTCATTTATAAACATCTCCATTTTCAGAGTGAGCTGAGAAACTTCACAGTTCTCAGGGCAGACATGGATGCTCTTTTCTTTATTTTGCCTCCTCCCATGCCAGGCAACTTGACTGAGAAGGGACTGGCCCTGGGACAGTAGCCCTTCCCAACACACAGCAGTGATCCTGCTTCTATAGCCAGTAAGAACTTCCCAACTGCCTCAATATCCATTAACAACCAATTCCCACAAACCTAATTCCCCAGCTCGTTATTGCACTTGACTCTCTTTATTTCTGGTTCCAATCAAGGGCCAGTAATGAAATGTGTGTGTGCAAAAGCCACCAGATGATCCTGTCAAGTGTTTGCCTTGGAGAACCTGTGTGAGGTGACAGCACAAAGCCAGTTCAGGGGCTGGAAGAGGAGCTCTGCTCCACATGAGCTGGGCTAGTGTCCAAGGATAGCACAATACAGTTGCTTTTTGTCTGCTCAGAAACAAAGGGGAAGCCTGAATAAAACCATCCTATGGGTGGGACACAGCCTTCAAATAATGAGTTTAATTAATCTGGGTAAAATTACCCTGAGTGCCTCTTGAGATCTGCCCCATCCTCTCTTTTATTTTCAGTGCAATGATCCACAAATCCTGGGATATTTTTGTAAGTTGAGTTGTCTGTGTCCTTCCAGATCTTGTGCAAACAACCCTGGAACTGTTTGCAAGGTATTTGTCATCAAAAGCCTTGCAGGAAAGGTTTTGCCAAATAAACTACCTGTTGGCAAAGACTTGCTATGATCCACCTCTGACTGAGGTGGCAGGAGAATCCCCTGTGGGACCCTTCCCACTGAGTTCCACTGTGATAAGTTTGGATACAGATTTTACCAGAGGTCAGATTTTCACCCTTGAGAAAATGGTTTGTCCAACCTTCTAAAACAGTTTGCCCAGAGGGTGCTTTCCTGTCAGGTGGAAGTCTGCTGGCCAGAAAGGAGTTCTGTAGACCAGAGGGGTCTTGTCCATCAGTGTAGGGGACACATGTCTGGCCCCTCAGGCTGCTCTCCCTCTCTCTCATACTCCATGAAGCTCCAGGCCTTAGAAGGAGATGGGAACACACAGTGAGACACAGAGCCAGGCTCTGGAGCTGGGCAGCTTGGCCATCTGGGTGACAATGAAGTGCCATTGCTTTGCTGTCCTTCCTTCACCAGCCTGATCCAGTCACCAAATGCTGAAACTGGTGCTGCCAGCCCCAAACACCTGCTGGGGTGTCCAAGGCTGTCCTGACATCACCAAGGCATGACCCCAGCTCCCCGTGGGGCCCTCACTGCCTGGATTGCTCAGGAGGCCTGTGACTATAAAAACAAGGCAGAAAGAGCTCTGGGCTCTGTCTTGAGTCAGTCCTGCCTGTATCCCATTATTCCAAACCAAGCACAGCAAGAACTGGAATATTTACCTATTTTGTGACCACACCAGAGGAAATCCCAGGTGTCTGACTGGCCCTGAAGAGACCCAGCACTGGCACCAGGCAGCCTGTCCCCATGGCCATGTGTGAGTGCTGGGCTTGTCCCACACAGTTTCCATCAGAACCTGTTGGCAGCTGAGCTCCTCTCCAAGCTCAGGGGGAACCTGCTCTGGGCCACCAGAGACAGTCACAGCTGGCAGGTGTTGCTGGAAAACCAGCCAGCCCAACCTCAACATTGTTCTCTTACAGAAATCTAATTTCTGCAGTTCTTCTGGTTTAATCAGAGAATCATAGAATGGTTTGGGTTGAAAGGACCTTAAAGCCCATCTCGTTCCACCCCCTGCCATGGGCAGGAACATCTCCCGCCATCCCAGGTTGCTCCAAGCCCCATCCAACCTGGCCTTGGACACTTCCAGGGATGGGGCAGCCACAGCTTCTCTGGGCAACCTGTGCCAGGGCCTCCCCACCCTCACAGCCAAGAACTTCTTCCAATTTAACCTTCAGTACCTTACTGATTGCTATGACCATCAGAGAAGGTGGGAATGGATGAAATAAAGACCTTTCAGTCCCTCAGTGCTCATCTGTTAGCACTGAAACAACACATGGAGGCTGACACTGCTGATGGATCCTCCGCAGCATCACACCATCATTGGAGAAAAGAACCTTCACTTTGCATTACTGAATGCAATAGGGCTCAAAAAGTGCATATTTCCCTGTTCACCACCTCAAAGCAGATGCCACTATTGCAGCTCTCTGTATGAAAAGCTCTCGAGAAGCTCAGCATTGTTTACCTTAGAGGGAGCTTGCAAAAAAAAAAAAACTGGCAAAAATTAAGATAAAAATATCAAGGGCATTTAATTTCAACTGAAACTCAGGCCTGCAGGCTCAGATCAGGGCTCAAAGCTTTGTCTTAATCTAATTTTATGCAGACAATTCAGTGATAATAGAAGTTTATATAACCCACATCAAGGAAATCAGAGGGGTTCCCAGGACCTATAATGAGAGCTGACATCACTGACTGCACATTACAAACCCAGGCACTCACTAAATAATTGTGGCTCCAGAGAGCACTTGACAGAGACAGAGCTCCCTCCACGCCCTCCCAGGCTCTGAAGCATTTTGTTGAGCTGTGACAAGAGCTTCAAACATTCCTCTGGTTTGGGGTGCACCAAGGAACCAACCCAAGTGCAGAGAGGCCCTGCCCTCCCTTCAGTGAGTGGGTCCTCATCTCGCTAAAATACAGGGTGGATTTTGAGCAGCAGGCAGAGAACGAGTCCAGCTCTGAAGGACAGAGCCCTTCATTTATCCATGAACCAAATCAAGGCACGGGGAAGTGCAGCACAACCTCCCTCAGAGGCCTCCCCACAACTGCACACCCCAGAGAGGAAAACCAGACTGACAGTGCCCGGGGAAAGCAATGGATTGCAGCAGGACACAGGGAGAAGGGGCTGCTTTGGGCACACAGGAGACACCCCGGCTCATCTCCCCGAGCCAGGAATGATGTGCCCTCACAAAGGGATCAGCATGGGACAGCCTGGCAGAGGGGCAGGGCTGGCCAACAACCCCCTACCTGAAGGATGACCCAGTGCCCCTCCTTTGCAGCCAGATCCAGAGCTTGTTCAGCAACCACCTCTTGGCCTTGTCCAAGGGACACGTTGTGGAGGTTCCTGTTGTTGAATGTAAAGCCAAGTTTCTTCCCTGAAAGCAAACAAGGAGTGAGATGAGCACTGTTGCCTGGCAGAGCTGTGTCAGGGCAGGCTCAGGTTGGATCTCAGCCAAAGGTTCTTCCCCCAGAGGCTGGTTGGGCACTGCCCAGGCTCCCCAGGGCAGTGGGCACAGCCCCAAGGCTGCCAGAGCTCCAGGAGGGTTTGGCTGATCCTCTGGGGCACAGGGGGTGACTCTTGGGGATGGGCCTGTGCAGGGCTAAGGATTGGACTGGATGATCCTTGTGGGTCCCTTCCAACTCAGCATATTCTGGGATTCTGGGATTCTGTGAACAGTTTGGGTTAGAAGGGACCCTAAAGACCATTTTATTCAACCCTCTGTCATGAGCAGGGACACCCTCCATGATCCCAGGTTGCTCCAAGCCCCATCCAACCTGGCCTTGAACACTTCCAGGGATGGGGCAGCCACAGCTTCTCTGGGCAACCTGTGCCAGGGCCTCCCCACTCTCAGGAAGATGATCATTCACCAAACTCCTTGACAGGAAACCATATTGCAGAACTCACAATCTACAATAAAGAAATCTAAACATAATCCTGAATTACTTTTTTCCCTAGAACACAGATCCTTTTGGCTTTGGAGGCAGCTGACAGCTCCATATCTGACCATCCACAATGAAACCAACTCAGGGAGGATGAGGATAAAAACTGGAAACTCTGCCACTAAGCACAGTCTGTTACAGGGAGCTGCTGCTTATATTTAGTTCTCATGAAATCATAGAAGAGCCGGTTGGAAGGGACCTCAAGGGTCCTCTGGTTCAACCTTTCTCGGCAACAAGCAGCTCTCTGACAGCGTGTTTGGTATCTCTGACGTAAATCATGGGTTGTGTACAAACCCAGCCCGGAGATCAGTGCAGCGTGAACCACACTGGGAATCCAGGCAATGCAGGAAGGAGACAAGTTTAATTTAAACTTTAGATGAAAATCCAAAATACTTTAAGAAAAAAATTCACAACAAAACCCAAAAACCTATGCTCTCACAATTATCTATTTTTAACAGATTACTTCATTATCTACAAAGAGATGAGGAAAAAAGCCAAAACAAAACAGGAGTGTCATGCTAAGATAATTATGCAGCAGATAAAAAGCAATGCTGTGCTATGCCTAGAGACAGGATTTATTTACCATGCTTCTCCACGTCCTTCAGTGGGTCCACTCCTGGGGACAGGATAAAAAACATTGGGGTTGCAGGTCCTGATTCCTCAAAGGTTGTTGCAAAATCCAGGGATCTCCCAACCACATATTTACTGCCCAGCTTTTCTTCTACAAAATCTCTGCCAGAGAGAAAAAAGTTTTGCCATCTACTATGGTTCAGAAAAAGGCAGATTCCACTGCAAATAATCAGTTAATTATCATAGAATCACAGACACACTAAGATTTGAAAAGGCTTCAAAGATTACCATCACCCCAGCACCACCCCTGTGTTCAGCAAGTGTCCTCATGTCATATCCATTTGTTTTCTTGAACACTTCCAGGGATGGTGACTCCATTACTTCTCCAGGCAGCCTGTGCCAGGGCTTGATGACCCTTTAATTCCCAATATCCAACCTAAACCTCCCCCAGGGCAATTTGAGGCCATTTTCTCTGGTCCCATCACTTATTCCCTGGGAGCAGAGCCCGACCCCCCCGGCTCCCCCCTCCTGTCAGGGAGTTACAGAGAGTGAGAAGGTCCCCCCGAGCCTCCTTTTCTCCAGGCTGAGCCCCCCCCAGCTCCCTCAGCTGCTCTGCATCAGATTGGTGCTTCAATTAGCTGTGATTTTGCTGATTCAAACAAATTAGAAACTACATTAGGAAAATGGGCATGAAACAATTGTAGAGGGGATCTGCAGGCTGGGCTTCCAGCATTATCCCTCAGGGGCAATGCCTGGCACTGTGTGCATGGTGGAATGACACCTGGCACCCTAGTTCCTGACAAAAGAAGGGAGCTGAGAAGGGAGAACAGTGGGAGCTGCCAGCCCAGGGCTGCACTGAGAAGTGCAATACAAGCACTGGATGATTGACTCAGGTATCTCAAGAGAGAAGAAATAAGGTACAGGAACCTGCCAAGTGCTTTGCAATCCAAGCAGCCTTCCAGAGGAAGCACCAAGTCACAACAAGTCCAGATGATTCACGAAATTACTTTGATCTGGAAAGCTAAAAGAGAAGAGTTCCAAGAATACGTGGTGTGTGCAGCCTTGGCATGAGAGTCACAAGGAAAAACACAACAGAGTGAACAGGAAAAGGTTCAGCTCCAAAGCAGCTGTCTGAACAGAAAACAGTGTACAGAGAACATTCCCCCAGAGTGAGCTTCCCACATCACTGCTTTAGCAAAAGAGGATACACTGAACATTCATTCAAAGGTAGGAATGTTGTATTCAAACCCCAGGAATGCTGCTGGAGAGTAGATACATGAGTCAGGCTTTTTGAAGGCAGTCAAATTCCTTCTAAGAGAGCTGAGAGCCTCCTTCAAGGACTGGTGAAAGGCAGCTGGAATAGAAATGCCTAAGGGATTGCAAAAGAAAAAGCTTCCACTTTTTTTGGTAGCTCTTTCAAGTAGATTTTTCTGTTCTGGGTCAAGATTTGCTAAATTGCTGCTGGAAAGCTCCAGTTCACAAAATTTAACAAAGTCCATCAGATCCCCAAGAGTCACAACATCCTTGTTTGACATCTCTATGAAATGATGCCTTGGGGACTGGAAAACACAACTGAAGTTGAGTGGGAGGCTTTGAAGTGGGACCACACGTGCAGGAGAGGGAAGGCTGCCCTCACAGAGTCACAGAATGTGCTGAGTTGGAAGGGATCCACAAGGATCATCTTGTCCAACTCCTGGCCCTGCACAGACCCATCCCCAAGAGTCACCCCCTGTGCCCCAGAGGATCAGCCAAACCCTCCTGGAGCTCTGGCAGCCTTGGGGCTGTGCCCACTGCCCTGGGGAGCCTGGGCAGTGCCCAACCAGCCTCTGGGGGAAGAACCTTTGGCTGAGATCCAACCTGAGCCTGCCCTGACACAGCTCCAGCCATTCCCTGGCTGCTGTCCCTGGTCCCCCCAGAGCAGAGCTCAGTCCCTGCCCCTCCTCTGCCCCTGCCCAGGAAGGTGGAACTGCACTGAGGTCTCCCCTCAGTCTCCTCTTCTCCAGATGAACACACCAAGTGCCCTCAGTGTCCTCACACGCCTTCAAATCAAGGCCCTTCCCCATCTTCATTACCCTCCTTTGGACACTCTCTAATGGCCCAATCTCTTCCCTCAGAGCAGTCCCCAAATGTGGTGTCTTTCAAGCAATGTATCCACAGGGCCGGGTCACTGTATCAGCAGTAAATGGTGCCAGCAGTAAAAGCAAATATCCCCAGACAAAGGGCTGGCTGTCAGCTCTCCCATGGTACCCAAAGCCCCAGCTGCCCACCATCCCATATCCCAGGAGTCTGTGTCAGTGTGTAAACCATGGCTGGAGGCACCAGCCACCAGAACCCTTAGTCCTGCTGCTCTGGTTCCAAGGTCTGTCCCTACTAAGGCAGAAGTACCAGTGCCTTTGAAAGGACTTCACGATGACCAAGTCATACCTTGCCAGTGGCTGCTGGACTGGTCTGACCCCATCATGGATGTGGAAGAGGGGGAGCACAAGGTCTTGTAAGAGGCTTTTTGCTGATGTTCTTCACTAAGATTTGGGGATGAAGCAGGTATTTACAGTGGAAAATCCTTCTTGAGGAAATGATGGTTCTTGGTGCAGTGCTGGCACTGAAGCTCTAAGGAGTGAGTTGGGGTAAGAGGGGTTTCTCCTGACAACTCCTTAGGCCCAGGGAAGGAAACAGACTCTGCAAATATCCCAGGGATCTGCTACGAAGGGAAGCTGAAAAACCCAACTTCCCAGGCAGAGGAATGTAAGAAGTCTGTGCAGGGGTGGATCATTTTAAATCCCAAAGAATTTCCTACACCATCGCCATGGAGCTGGGATATATGACATGGGACTTACGAGGTCTTAAACCTTTATGAACAGCAGCTGAAAATGATGTAAGGCACCTAAAATATCTCTGTCCACATATGTTTAGGTTACCAAGTTACTCCTTGACTCCTAAAATGCACTCAAGTAGTTGTCAAGACCCCCAGAGGGACAGGAAGGTTTGGACTGTTCATGATGTCCATTGATCACCAGTGAGGCATTGAATGTTGGTAGATTGATATATTTATATACTGACTGATATAATTGATAACAGAAGGAAGAGACCTGCAAGTTGAGAACTGCAGAACACCCTCTGGGATCCAATGGCATTGCAGGTTTCTAAACTCAATGAATTTATTAACACAGACGGTCTTGAACCACCACTGGCTGCAGGAGGGATGTGGAGGGTGAAGTCATAGAATCATGGAATCATGGAATCATAGAATCAACCGGGTTGGAAGGGACCTCTGAGATCATCAAGTCCAACCCTTGATCCAACCCCGCTGTGGTTCCCAGCCCATGGCACTCATGCCACATCCAGTCTCATCTTACAAACCTCCAGGGACGGAGAATCCACCACTTCCCTGGGCAGCCCATTCCAATGGCTGATTACTCTCTCTGGAAAAAATTTCTTCCTGATATCCAACCTAAACCTCCCCTGGCACAGTTGAAGACTGAGCCCTCTTGTCTTGCTGAGAGTTGCCTGGGACAAGAGCCTGACCCCCCCCGGCTCCCCCCTCCTGACAGGGAGTTGTAGAGAGTGAGGAGGTCTCCCCTGAGCCTCCTCTTCTCCAGGCTGAGCCCCCCCAGCTCCCTCAGCTGCTCCTCACAGCACTTGTGCTCCAGTCCCTTCCCCAGCCTTGTTGCTCTCCTCTGGACCTGCTCCAGCCCCTCCATGTCCTTCCTGAACTGAGGGCCCAGAGCTGGACACAGCACTCGAGGTGAGGCCTCACCAGCGCTGAGTCCAGGCCAAGAATCACTTCCCTGGGCCTGTTGGCCACATCGTTCCTGAGCCAGGCCAGGATCCATTGGCCCTCTTGGCCACCTGGGCACACTCAGCTTCCTGTCCATCCACACTCCCAGCTCCCTTCCTGCCTGGCTGCTCTCCAGCCGCTCTGTCCCAGCCTGGAGCTGCAGGGGGTTGTTGTGGCCAAAGTGCAGGACCTGGCCCTTGGCCTGCTTGAACCTCATTCCCTTGGAATCAGCCCAACTCTCCAACCTATCCAGGTCCCTCTGCAGAGCCCTGCTGCCTTCCAGCTGATTGACACTCCCCCCCAACTTAGTGTCATCTGCAAATTTGCTAATGGTGGACTCAATCCCCTCATCTAAATCATCAATAAAGATATTAAATAAACTGGGCCCAACACTGATCCCTGGGGGACACCACTGGTGACCAGATCCCAACTGGATGCAGCTCCATCCCCACCACTCTCTGGGCCTGGCCCTCCAGCCAGTTCCTGACCCAGCACAGAGTGCCCCTGTCCAAGCCATGGGCTGCCCGCTTTTTCAGGAGTGTGCTGTGGGAGACGGTGTCAAAAGCATTGCTGAAGTCCAGGTAGAAGTCTGGGCATCAGCTCCTCAGTGCTCAACAGGATCCTGCTTTCTGAAGGGTCACAGACACAACACAAGGGCAGTGGGCACAGCCCCAAGGCTGCCAGAGCTCCAGGAGGGTTTGGCTGATCCTCTGGGGCACAGGGGGTGACTCTTGGGGATGGGCCTGTCCAGGGCTGAGGGTTGGACTGGATGATCCTTGTGGGTCCCTTCCAGCTCAGCACATTCTGTGACTCTGTGAACTTTGACAGGAAAAGCCCCAGGTGAGCTGTGCCTGCTGTGTGAGGGCTCCTGGGAACGCTGGTTGTGTTACACTCAATCCAAAGAGAGCTTTTCCTTCTGACATCTGGCCACTGGGCCTCCCTGGCAGGCAGAAGAAGGACCCATGGACAGATCATTGTCTTTTCCTGAGAGCTGCATCTCAGGAACAGCAAGTTTCTCCCCTAAGGACAGAGGATCCATCCAGGCCAGGCTGTGGGCTGAGGGCAGGTCTGAGGAGCATCATCCTGTCAAGGAGGGCCCAGGAAGAGAAATACATTTTGACTGTCTTTGCCTTTGCTTTTGGGGTATGAGATTTCTCTTCTCAAGCCTTTTGGGCCTTGTGTCTGACTGTCCTGTATTTCAAAAAGAATTTTAGTCCCATCTCCCAAGTCTTGGGGAAGGTGATGTGAATTGTTGCTGTTTGCACATGTTTGTGTTCTCACTTACTTCTAGATAATAAACAAAACATAAAACTCATCTAAATACTCGTGTGTAAAGAGAAAAGCTTGACGTGCCCAGATCCTAAAAACATCCAAGCTTTTGAACTGGATTCCCTTTTCATAAAAGAGAGATATGAAAGGGGCTGAAATTTGATGTTCCAGTTATTTCCAAGCTGTGTAAGAAGGAAATAAATTAAACTTGCTTAATTAAATATGCACTTAAAATTTCAGAAAAACATGAGCTTATTTTACCCAAGCTAAACAACAACAAGAAAACCAATATTTCCAACTGAGAGACACATGAAGAATCCAGTCATAAGAGTAAGAAATGAAAAAGATGGTTTAGATTATTATGATTATGATAAATTATAGTATTTATTCTAGTAAAACATAATAACATTGACCATAGGGAGACTTCACTCAGTCTTGTCTGCATTTCCCTGTGAACTCTAAAGCACAAAGAGATCTAGTTCATACACTGAGTAATAACCCTGCTACACTCCCATGCCATGTGGTGCAGTAATATAAACTGTTTGAGAGGCAGGAGCATGAGAGACATCCTAGAAATGTCAAAACACTGACTACCAGGACAGAGGAGGAAAAAACAGCTCCTACTGGAGTGAAAGACCTTTAGTTTCTCCTGGAACAAGTGTGTTGCTTTTGCATACCTTGGGGAAGTTTAGCCTTGCTTAGTTACCTCCACTGCATAATTTACAGCTACAAGATTCAGAACCAGCAGCACATAAATTTTGCACTTTACAGGGAAAAAAAAAGGCCAGAAAACCTCTCTAAGACTTTCCTTTACTTCTACACTTTATTCTGGTGTATAAGGTACAGCCAAAGAGGGACTAAAATCAATGTTATTGAACTCTAGACCATGTGTTGACCACTCAAAGACTCCAGTAGATGTGTAACACCTGCAAGGTGAGGCTCATTTCTGACTTGGCCTCTCTGCTCCTCACCCATTGCCAGGGACACTGCCCCATCCTACTGCTGATCTGGAGGTGAGATCCCCCTATCAAGAAATTCCAAA